CGCCGCTGCCTGCCGGGCCGCGCGCTGGTCGTCAGCGAGCCACCTTTCCGCCGCCTCGACCCGCGGGCTCTGCTTCTGGAAGAGCGCCGCCTGCTTGCGGCATGCAGGCCGTGCCCTCGTTCGCCACGTCCCCTTCGCGAGGGGGCGGGCGCGTCGACGGGGTCGGGCGGGCGATGGCCAGAGCCTTCTGGGCGAGGGCCTCGGCGTCGGGCAGGGCGCCCAGCCGAGCGCGCAGGGCCTCGAGCGGGTCGGGCGGCTCCGCCTCCGCCCACTCGCCCCGCCACTGGTCGGCCCCTTCGGTGCATGGTCGACGGAGCTTCGGCGCGGCTTCTGCCGTTGCCCTCGGAATCGCGGCCGAGCGCTGTCCGCCCTCCGTCGGCGGGCTTCTCGCCCATTGTCCGCCGGGGCCCCCGTCCGAGCCCGGTGGCGGTGCCGCGGTGGTTGCGCTCGAGTGGTGGCTGCGGAGACTCCAAGGGGGGAGCGGCAAAGCGTTGGGCTGGGCATAGGTGCGAGAGGTCCGGGCTCCCTGGAGAGCTGCTGCTTCGGGATGTCACTGAGAGCGAGAGGAGTGGCTTCCCACAGCGCAGAGCCCCTGGGGGCACTGGGAGCCGCGCGCGCTGGAGAAAGGCCGTCTTCATCCTCCTGCCTGCTCCTTCCGTGTCCTCATTGGCCTCCTCCTCGGCGACCTTTCCTCTCCCCTCCTCCTCGTCCTCCCGTCCCCGTCTCTCTCTCTCTCCCCCTCCCCCTCCCCACCCCGCGCTCCCGCGAGTGCGTCGGAGGAGGGGGAGGAGGGGGAGGGCGTGCGCGCGGGAACGCTCGCGCGCAGAGGGACGATACTCATGGAGGAGGAGGAGGAGGAGGAGGAGGAGGAGAAGGAGGAGGAGCAGGAGGAGGAGGAGGAGGAGGAGGAGCAGGAGGAGCAGGAGGAGCAGGAGGAGCAGGAGGAGAAAGAGGAGGTGAGGAAGAGGAGGAGGAGCAGGAGGACGTCGCCGTCGTGATCGACGCGGGACATCGTCGTCGTGGTCTTCGTCGTCGACGTCTTCGTCGTCGACGTCGTCGTCATCGTCGTCGTCGTCGCGGAGTGTGCGGCCAGGGCAGCAGCACGAGGGCGCGCAAGGGCGACTCTGGCGCGGCCTGTGGCTCGCCGGCGACGGGACCCAGGCGCACGGACCCCTGCACCAGTGGCCTTCCGCATTCCCTCACGTGTTCGTTGTCGTTCTGGGCTATCTTCCGTCCTCTGGGCTCCTTCTGTCAAGGGAGGAAAAACCACCGTGATCCCCAGAAGTGTCGTTTTCTAAACGGCCCTGGGCGTTTGCTCAACAGCCCTGCCCTACTCGATGCCTTCCTTGGGTGCGTTTAGCTGGTCGGGGTGCTTGTTGTGAGGGTGTTTCTGTTTTGCATTAGATCCTGGCTCCAACGCATCCCACCCAGATTCCCCCTTCTTGTCACCCTCGAGGGACAAACCATGGCACAATCAGAGACTTTCGGAGGTCCGCGCTGATTCCTCGGATCGGCGCTGGAGCCCCCTGGCGGTGCCGCCCCTGGCGCGCGCGCGCCGATCCAACAAATCAGCGCGGACATCCCCTCTCCACCCCTTGCCCCTCTTGCTGAGGTCCACCTAGCAATGCTGCGACCCAGCTGCTGATCTCTACGTCCGCCCGCTGATTTGCGCTGAAGATGCCGAGCCCGATCCGGGCCGCCCCACTTCTGAGCGTGGATTACCTACCCCGCTTTCGCTCCCAGACAAAACCAAGTAATACCACGCGCCTCCTGGTCAAGCGACCTGACTGGTGCGGGCCGTAGCCTGGTATCGTTTGGTATCGTTTGGAAGCGAGGGTGGTCAAAAGCGAGGCAGGTTCGTTTGCCTTCTATCGTGGGCGGAACATGTATCCGTATCCGCGGCCCTCGCGTCGGGACCCCTGGGCCGCGACCATGCGGATGCGCCGCGCGGAACGTATCCGTGCCACCGTGCATCCGCGGGCGTCGCGCCTTGGAATCCCGACCGCGAGTGCGTGGACATGGATACGCTCGCCGCTCGTGACCCTCCCCCTGTGCGCGCCCTCCCCCTCATCAGCACGGGGGGAGGCGGGTCCCGAGGGAAGCGGGTCCTGGACCCTGGAGCCTTCCCCAGGGACCCGTTCTGTCCTCCAGAGCTGTCTCCCGACGGCCCCGGGTGCCCGTGGAGGGCCCCAAGAGCCCGAACACGGCGGAGCAACCTCGGGAGCCCTTTCCCTCAGGACCCGCTCTCCCATGGAGGAGGAGGAGGAGGAGGAGGAGGAGGAGGAGGAGGAGGAGGAGGAGGAGGAGGAGGAGGAGGACGAGGACGAGGACGAGAACGAGGACGAGGAGGAGGAGGAGGAGGAGGAGGAGGGAGGAGGGAGGGAGGAGGGAGGAGGGAGGAGGACCCGCTCTCCCCCGTGGCGACCTCAGGAAGGCGGCGCGGCAGCACGCGACGGTCTCGCCGGGCCACTGCCAGCTGCCCTCCGCCGGACTGGCGTGAGCCCCACGCGGCGGCGGCGCGCGCGGCGGCGCGAGCCGCGGCGCGGGCCGCGCAGCGCGGCGCGGGCGCCTCCGCGGAATTGTTTTGTCTCCAACGAGATTGCGCCTGGGACCTCGCGGGTTCGCCGGCAGCACGTCGGCTCCCCATCATGTCGTCAAGAAGAGCGAAGGAGCATCGAGGCTCGGCATTCGCGCCGATTGGGGTGCGGCCTGCCTTTCTGAGGGCCTCCTGGGGCATCGGCCTCGTCGCCACGGCTGGATGTGCCTCGAGAGGGTGGCCAGAGTGTGCCCCTCGGCATCTCTTGCCTGGAAGAGGCAGGGCCTTGGTGGGGGAGAGGGTCCTCCTTTTCGAGCCGCCGCTGGCGGCCTCCCGGGGCCCTTCCCAGGCTCCGCAGCCGTCAAGAGAACGATGCAGGGTGCAGAGGCTGGTCCTGGGGGCACGCGGGGGTCCAGGACCCGTTCTCCTCAGGACCCGTTTCTTTTCCGTCGTCGCCACCGTCGGCAGCCCCCAGACACGTTCGCAGTGGGCTGGGCAGCCGCGGGGCCCCGTGGGAACACCAGGGGAGGAGCACACAGCCAGCAGAAAGGGTCGGTGAGGTAGGGATCTTCGGGGCGGGATCTCGTGGGCGGCAGTGAAATATCAGATCGACGTGGCAACTGGTGTTGGGATCCTGTGGCCTGGCCCATAAGAGCAAATGGGAAGAGCTGGACAGACAGGGCAGGCAGGGCTGGGGCCCCATGAATGGGACCGTTCTGGGCCCAGCAGGGGAAACCGACAGGGCTACCAAGGCTGGGCAAACGGGAGGACCAACACCGAGGCAGTTCTCCGTGAGACCAGCGGTGGCCCGTTAGGTTGGTGCGAGCCTGCGTGGGAGTCATGACGTTTAGGGTTGCGTCAGCAGCTGGCCCGCGCCTCTCTGCAGGAACATCACCGAGGGCTGGTCCAGGCTTCGTAGCCCTTTGTTCTCAGTCTGGCGACGACGGCGACGACGACGGCCGCGAACCCCCAGACCGTGGGGCGAGTGCTGACCACGATTTCGAGGCGGGGATGTTGCGACGCCCCCCTTCTCCCCCAGAGCCCCCAAAAATGCTTAAGAGGGCCCAATTCCCCCGACGATGTGAACGACGAAGACGACGCCAGCCCGACCTCGGACGCACGCTTGCGGCGTCGAGGACAGACCAGCTTGATCCGACAACGGCAGCGACGACGCTGGCTTGGCCCCAGACCTCTGCTTTCCTAGTTTTCTCTGCGCGGGCCGCGGAGCTATCGGTTTTTTGCACCCGATCGTTTTGATGGCCCTGGGGTCCGTAGACGGCGCCAGGAAGGCCCGAAATTGCAATACAGATCCGCCCGTCGGCGTCGAGACCATGGGTGTCTGGATTTCTCGGCTTCGAAGTCGACCTCAGGACCTGTCCAGGGGTGCGCTTCGGGCAGAATTCCAAGGCGGACCCAGCCGTGGCCACGAGGGCGCCCCAAGAGGCCCAGAAAGGGCCAGAAGAGCACGACAGCTTTCAACCCTCCTCATCCGGCTCCGTTCCTCATGCAACACGTGGTTGAACGTCTAGGCACAATCCGCGCAACATCACCCCCCAGACCACCCCCGAGGTCCACCAATTTGTCGAGTTGCGTCCATCCGTCGAAGGGCCCAAAGTAACGTCTAACAAGTTCGCAGGGTGTGGGCCCAGACGTGGAGACTGCTTGGCCCATGCCCTGGCTCCTTGATGCGCCGAAACATGTAAAACACAACATGGGCGACGCCCGCGGCGGCGCCGGCGACGACGACGATGGCCTGGTCTCCTTCGCCGTGCGGGGTTCACGCCAGACGACGACGACGACGACGACGACGACGACGACGACGACGACGACGACGACGACGACGACGACGACCGGGCGGGCCCAGACATGACGACCGGCTCGCCCGTCCCCTTGCCGCCGAAGTTGGGCGCCGTCGATCCGGAGGCCCGGGCGCGCGGCGCGCTCGCTGCCGCTGGGCCCCGCCCCCGTCTGGGGGGCAGCGGGGGGCTGCCTGGGAGGCAGCTGGTCTTCGGGCGGACTGGAGGTTGCCACTCCTGGGGCTGGAGTCCTGGAGCTTTCCTAGGGTTTCGGCGCCAGGACGACAGCAGGCCTCGCCCCAGATGTGGGGTACGCACAAGATATCCTCCTACCAGGGGACATCGCAGTGGCCTGAGGCCAAGAAAGAAAACAAAGCACAGAAATCGACCACCCACACAAGGACGACGAGGCCAGCTGTCCCAGGTGCAGAGAGCGCCAGGACGACAGCCGACCTCGCCCCAGATGTGGGGTGCCGCCAGTGTCTGGGAGGCAGCTGGTCTTCCGGCGGACTGGAGGTTTCCACGCCTGGAGCTGGAGTCCTGGAGTTTTCCCAGGGTTTCGGCGGGAGGAGGAGGGGTTAGGAGGAGGAGGAGGAGGAGGAGGAGGAGGAGGAGGGAGAGGAGGAGGAGGAGGGGGAGTGTCTGGACCCCGGGGCCATCAGAACTGGACCCTGGGCACGCAATCGTTTCCTGCCTCGGGTGAGGGGCCGAGACCTCGGGGGCCCGCGGGCTGCATGTATCGGTATCGATTGTAAGATGCTATACCCATCGGTCGTTGAAAGTAGGTATTTTTGGATTCCCAGATTCCAATCTACTTTCAGCGCCTTCCTACTTCAAGAGTCGAGTGGTTTTCCCTCTTCCTTCCTCTTCAGGAGGCGGGCGGAAACCCAATCTATTTCCAACGCCTTCCTACTTCATGTTTCTGCCTACTTCTTCTGACCGATGGGTAGGCTTGCGCCACATCCGCCGACCCCTAAATAAACTATTGCGCCTCCAGGACTGCATTTCACGAGGCTTGTCCGAATCATGACACGGCGCTCGGCATCGTTCATGCTGCTTCGTTGCTGTCATCGTACCTCTTGGTGCTCTTTTGTTGCCTTTTGGTGGCATCGTGGCCTGTCTGCAGGCCATATCCGGCCGCCTCGAGGCATCTTGGGCCAAGTTTGGGGGCCTTTGAGTATCTCTTGGGGGTCCCTCAGGGCCTCTTGGGGTGTTCTTGGAGCGGGCTGGGGGCGTCGTGGGGCCGAAGGCTTGAAAAGATGCCCTCTAACGTGGAGCCGTCTGGGGGCCCTCTTGGGCTGTGTGGGGAACTTCGTGGGCTGTTTTTGGACCCTCTTCTACCCCTCGTGGGGCCCCTTGGGCCGTCCGGGGGCGATATTGAAGGTATCTTTGCCCGTCTCGGACTTTGTGAAAGCCGAAATTGTGAGTATGCGAATCTCGTATTGTTTTAATTTTGTTCCATGAGAATGGGACGACTTTTGTTTCTTGGGACACTCTTTGGACGCATCTTGGGGGCCTTTTGGGGCGTCTTGGCAGCTTCGGAGGCCGTCTGGAGGCCATCGTGGGCGTCAGGGAGCGATACTTCGGCGACTCGTGGCCCTCTGGGAACGTCTGGGGAGCGTTTTGGTGCCTTCTGATTTGGAGCCCTCCGCTCCCCCGTGACGTGTTCGGTCCAGGGGCAGGCCGGGCCGTGGGGGGGGGGCAAATTGCCGGCTTGGGGTCCTTGGGGGGGGGGGGATTATGGGGGGGATCATCTCACACTCCTGGAGGCCCACAAGGGGTCGGCGGATTTAGGAGGAGCGCGCCGATTTCGGCAACATCCGTGGGCCCAGAGGGCATACAGACCCGCGCGTTCATGATCCGCTGTCTGCCGCCAAAGCGAATACCGCCGACGTTGACCATTCATCCTGGAGCGCAAACGGAGTTCTGCTTGGGTCTGCGAACAGACAGCCCCAGGAGGGTAGTCCAGGCTGGCATCAACATGCCTCCAGGGCAGCCCGCGGTAATCCCAACACCCCCTTACCACCTCCGGTGGCGCTCTGGGGCGCCCTGGGCTTTCATGGGGGCGTGTTGGGGTAAGCCTATACTGTCTCTTTGGGGCTGTCTGTGCGCAGCGCCGAGCCTTGACATGGAGTCCTCCATGTCGACAGCTCACACCCCGCGGGGGACTGCACACGAGAGCACAGGGGGGCGAATGAGTTGGCTGGTTGTTTCCACGCTCTGCGAAGGGCAGCTCAGGGCCAGCCACTGCCCGCTCGAGGCGCCTTCGGGGCTAGGCCTGGAGGGTGTTCGCCTGGTGGCTGCCCGTGGGTGCCTCGTGGGCGCCCAGTGTGGGTCTGGAGGGTTTTCGCCCGGTGAGCGCCACGTGGGCGCCCTCTGAGCTGGCAGGTACAGGCTCTCCGTTCTAGAAGAAATCATGCTCCGTTCCCCTGTCGAAGCTGGACTTAACCCATCCCCTCCGCATTTTGATATCCCACGGGGGTAGAAACCAATCGGATGCAGCTTTCTTTTTGGAGCATCGTGTTGTCCCCTCCTCTCGCGTGTTTTCGTTGGTGGGTCCGAAGAAGAACCCAGAAGCCAAACGTACGAAAAAATGCTGGGGCTGAAAAGCACGCGACGTAGAAGGTCCAGGGCCCAGAAGTCGGGGAGTGTGGCCGGAGGCCTCTGGAGGTCCACCCTTGAGGCTCTCGGAAGGCCCCAGCACGCTCTCGGAACGTCAAACAGGTGGCAGGAACATCTTAAGTTTTGATTCCTTGATGTTCGGTTTTCGAACACCGTCCCCAGAACTCCGAAGTGGTGTCTGTTTCGCAGTGTCGACGCCTTGATGGTGGTGATTTCTTCCCGCACGTTTCCCTTTCACGCTGTGTTAATTCTGCTAGTCTGTCGCTCCTCTTCACCCTCTTCGTCCTTGAGACGTTCCCCACGCTCCTGCTTCCTGCTTCCTTCACACGTCTCATTGGTCTCACCCTGCTGCTCCTCCTCGCAATCTCCCTCCTCCTCCCAAGCTGCGTGCGCTCTTCTTCTTCCTCCTCCCCCTCCTCCCGATCCCAATCCTGAGGGGCGTGGGAACAGCAGGGGAAAGGGTGGCAGGAGGCAGGGAGGCGGCGGTGGCACGCCACTTGGGGGTGGAGGGGCCTCTGCGTTCCCACCGCCCGGGGCTGCCCCCCC